TTTGACACCCACGTATAGCTTGCTGGGCTCTGAACGTGGAAGCTGGGTATACTCACGAGTAGCTTGCCAGGCTCTCCAAAAGCGGATATGGAGCTTATTTGTTGGAGGCGACTCCTAACCACCTCCCATATGCTTCCCAGTCACTTGATTGCAGGCTTTTGGCCGAATTTACTCGTAGAATACCATCCACATAAGCAAGAACGCACCACACACGCATGCATGAATACGCCTAGCAAATGCAGAAAGTATGTGCCAAATCGGCGCAGAATAAACAGGGAGTGGATCCCCTGGACCCACCTGCTTCTCAAAGAAGGAAAGGTCGCCTTTGGTTCGCGGTTAACCCCTTATGCACCACCTGGGGACGCGCCACGCAGCCTTGCGACTAACCGGCTAACGTGATCCCTCTTATGAGGGAGATCGGTGGTGTTGGAGTTGGAGTCTTGGGGTACGTGGACTTAAGTTCTGGCACTAGGTTTATTGATTTTCGTAATGTCTGATTTCAAAATGGCCTTCCTCCTCCCTTTCCATAGTGAAGAAAATACCATCAGGCTTGAGCGACTTACCTCCCCAATGTACCAAGTGCCACATTTCTCGCGGGTGTAGGCTTCGAAAGTTTTCGGTAGAATAGTGAACACTGAATCATCTTCGTCTTAAGTACACAGTGGTCATTGTTGATTCTATGGAAAACTAATTTTTTTCTGTTCACCTTTCTTATACTCTTTGGTCGTTGATTTCCGCTGCAAACTCGAATTGGTAGCAGCAGAGAATTAAAATGACTTTACAACTGGTACCATGTCATTTCGTTTTATCTTTAACTTTTTTCTTTACTTTTGAGGTTGTCACTTTTTCACTATCATCAGTAAAGAGTGCCTATCGGTCATCGGTTGCTCGCTCACTTCCGCCACATTCTTTTGAGCGCAGGTTCACAGATCTCATTCAGATTGCGAATAGCTCACTACAGGGGCTGTAAAATGCGACGAGAGTTCAAGCGTTGTTAGAATCTTGCTCGATGGTTGTGTGAAGTTTCATCTAGTGTATAATTTCGTAAGTTTATCTCAACGGAAAACGTAGAGGAAACCCGTCTGGTTAATAAACTACCACAAAAGAAAAGAGCAAAAAAGATTTGCAACCTTCTTCTCGTCGGCACACCGCTCTCTGTATTATTATAGATTTTTACATTATTAAGCACGGATCTCCCTCATATGAGGGGTTTTGAGCCGATTATTGGCGAGGTAACGTTGCGCGTTCTTAGGTGGCGGAGAAGGAGTCAGTCGCGGAAGAAAAGAGAGCTTATGCTTTCCTGAGATGCAGATGGATCTAGGGTATGGACTCCCTGTTTCTGCTGCGCCGATTTGGCAATTACCATCTATATTTACGAGGCGTATTCATGCATGCGTGGCTGGGTGTGTTCTTGTTTATGGGGATTGTATTCTACGAGTCAATTTGGCCAAAAGCATGCAACCAAGTGACGGGGAAGTATCTAGGAAGCAGTTAGAAGCAGCCTTCAATAAATAAGTTCCCCGTCTGCTCTCGGAGAAAACGAAAGGCTACCGACAATTATATCCAGTCTCCACGTTCAGAGCTCAGCAAGCCGTACGTGGGTATCAAAGAGCTAAAAACAGTAGAATAAACGGCAGTGGCTCATTGAAGCATTGGGAGAGTACAACAGACTGCTGTGTCTCACATTTATCGATTTAAAGAACGATTTTGACTCAGTTGTGATAGAAACAGTCATGGAAGCTCTAAACAGTCAAGGATTCCCTACTCAGTACATAAAGATTCTTCGTGAGATGTGCAAAAAATTCGCAACCAAGATATCGCCATTCTACAACGATATTAACATCGACATCAGGAGAAGGGCTAGGCAAGGCGGTACCATCTCGCCAAAATTATTTACGCCACCCTCGTGAACGTCATGCGGGCATTGGAATAGGACAACATGGGAGTGAGAATTGATGGTTGGCAATTACACCACTTTCACTGGGATGATATCGCTCTTATAACACTAAATATTAGCGGAGCGGAACGTATGCTCGCCGACTTTGATAAAGCCCGTGGAAAGATTGTTCATCGACTAAATCTCACAAAAGCGGTGTTCATGAGGAACGGATTGGTTACGTATGCCTCATTCACGCTTAACGGAACGAATATCTCCGAATGCTCCAGTTACGTCTATCTAGGTCGGGAAATCAACATGACGAACGACTTGGCTCCAGAGTTGAGCAGGAGTAAACGAGCGGCTTGGGGAGCTTTCAAGATTATCGAGGATGTAGTGAAGAAGACAAGGAACACCCGACTTCGTGCCTACCTTTTCGACTCAATGGTACGTCCTGCCCTAACGTATGCGTTAGAAACCTGGTCGCTGCGTAAGCAGGATGTCAGCGTTATCGAACGCGCGGTCGAAAGAACGATGCTAGGAGTATCCCGTTTCACACAAGTGAGAGATGGGATCCGAAGCTCCGACCTGCGTCAAAGATCAAAAATCAAAGATGCCGTTCTGTACGCCAAACAGTCAGAGATGAGGTGGGCAGGACACGTAATGCGTATGAATGACAACCAATGGACAAGAACCGTTAGTGACTTGATTCCTCGGGATGTCAAACGTACTGCAGGAAGACCACCGACCCGAAGGTCAGAGTTCTTCACGAAGAGCCTAGAAGAAAGAAATAATGCTCGACGAGTTCCGAGAGGAAGCAGAACCTACTGTGCAACTCTCGCACGCGATAGGGAAAAATGGAGGATTTATTGGCGCTCGCTCGAGTCACTCGATGATCAACAGGACTACAGGTGATACAGGTGATCCCTAATTGACGCCAATCTAGTCTTCGGCTATGTAGCAAAGGTGAAACAAGGAAAATTGGGACCCTTTCACGAATTCAAACGTAAACGGAGTTCGATGGTAGCGATTCCCGATGTGAATGTCGTTGACCTTACTGCACTACGTTAGTTTCGAGCTGTTCGTGAGTGGTGATTACGAGCGTGGAACTATGGACTCTTTCATGTCGATGATGAGGCCGATAAAGCCGGAAGGTATCTATGTGGAACAGTTTGAAAGCTCATGAAATAATTAAGCCTAAGAAAAAAAGAAAAAAAAACAGAAGATCATTAGTTTCGCAGGTCTTCAATCGAGATAAACGCTAAGAATTCGATATGATGGCTGATACAAGAACGAAACAAATGCCAAATAACTTGTCGGCATAAAGTTCTTCTGCGTTTTTTCAAATATTAAAGAGATTTTAACAAGTAAGTTGTGAGGTAAAGAGAGAATATTATTGTTATGAATGTCAACGGCTTTCTGCAAAGTAGTTCAGCGAATATGAGCCTGTGAAACACCACCCGAAATCAAATTCACATTGGGAAGAAAGTGGTTGCTTAGTTAACATTTTTATTTACTGAATATTACTATTCTTTAATGCAGGGTATTACGTGTGGAACAACCACAATGATGCTTAGATATTTGCAAAACTCCGGGCTGCATGGGTCTGTGGTGAGGAACGATCGCGCTATTACCCTTCTCAGGGGCTAACGCGTTCAGCACCGCACCATGCGGGTCCTTCATTTCGCCTGTCTCTCAGCAAGTTCTATCGATGAGCGCGATCAGCAATCACCCGCCAACGGAACTAGTCTAGAGACCCCAAATTGGCAACGAACCCAGTTAAGCTGAGGCTGTAGTCGGAATTACAATGTTAACCGTTTTATTTACTTCCTATTACAATTTTCATGGCACGGTAATACGTGCGGTACAACCAGAAGACGAAAATCAGCCGAGAGACAGGCGAAACGAAGAATCGGCATAGTGTGCTGATGAACGCGTTAACACCCAGAAAGGGTAATAGCGCGTTCGTTCCCCACCGCAGACACCTGCGATCTGGAGTTTTGCAAATATCTCAGCATCATTGTGGCTGTATCACTGCTTATTATTCGAAGAAAGGAGTCATTTCTAAAAATTCTTGAATTACTGGGATACTATGGCAGTGGAGAAATATTGTTAAGACATCAAAATGCACCAATAACACTTAACTGCCACAACGAACTAAAACCCCAAATACAAAAGTCAAAAAAATAGGGATGCAAAACTTTGCCTTATTTGGTATTCTTATCAAAGACCAAATTCTTACCAAAAAACCAAAAAAAATTCTTACTTAGACCAAATACCGTCCGACTGTAGCTTTTCCATGTATTTAGATAGTTTGCTAAATCATTAGTGCATTTCTTTCAGAGGCTTCATATGCAACGGAGACCCATAGTTTTGTCGTTATTGACTAAACATCCATCTAATTGTGATTCTGCGCTTTCGAGTAATATATTCTATCAAGAAAACCGGCGCAGTGGTCGGAAGCTCCATGCGATGCGCACATTGGATCGATCCCCGCGCCCAAGGCTCACCAAGCCTTCAACCTCTCCGGGGTCATCAAATTGGTACCAAACTTGTCTGGGAACATAGCAGCATTGGCCCGATACATCGGCAGGTCACCTCGAGTTATTGTAAAGACCAGATATGCATTCAATCACCTCTTAACGAAGCTCAAGTCGAATGCATGGCCCATCCTTCAGGGATTGATCAACGCCAAGAGCTTTATCCTTTTAGATTTAAGGAACGTCAGATGTTGTTTTAGAGTTGGTTTTTAAAAAATTCTTTCCAAGCACTTCCTCTGTCAAATCATCTAAAATCAGGGTCAGTTGATACTAATTCGTTCCCTACTATTGAGTTACTTGCATTGCGACCGATGATACCGTTTAAATCGGCAGCATTTTCTATTCAGTAGGCTTTGTTTTTTCATGTTCAATGTTTTATGTGCATGTACAAAAATCTAGGAGACATGTCACTGATTGTGATTGTGATATGCATGACGTCTAGTTGCCATGGATTGATCCATCGATAACCCTCAACAGCTTCTTCCATCCGTCGTTATCGTTTCACGTTATAGCATGTTTTGTGCTTCCTTCTTTTGAAACACGTTTCCAATTGCCTTTTTCTTGCTCACTCTTTCAGCGAACGGATGTGGAATACGGCCGTGTTTGTGTTGCTTCCATATCTTTATGCACGTGTTACTACTAAAGTGACCGACCTGACGGCGGAGAATATCGACTCCATACTGTCTGAGCATCAGGTACACAGTTGGGATCTTTATAGATGCTAACTTTACGGTGCATAGGCCTAGTGTTGAAGTGATTACATCGACTTTTCTTGTCTGATGATTCAGTGTCACATTGCCACGACCGACTTTCTATTAACCTCGGCACCGATCAAGTGATTTTCTTCGTATTTTTGTTGAGCAAACGCGAGGTGTTATTATTCTTTGTTCACGATTAAGCTGACGTTTCGGCGGATTTCGCCTTCCTCAGAGCCGCTTCCTATGAGGTTTCCACTAAGTATGTCATGTAGAGACCAACTGCACAGAAATCACGTGGAAGTATAATTATACTTATTCTTATTATTATTATTCATTAGAATAAAGAATAATAACACCTCGCGTTTGCTCAACAAAAATACGAACAAAATCAATGTCACATTGTTTTTTTTCCGAATAATTTTGGAAAACGTTTCGCTGATTGAAAACTGACGCTCTAGAGAGGGAATTCTGTGGTAAAAGTTGTCCGATTTATTTATTTCGCGCACGTTGGCGTTCTCCTTTATTAGGAGCAATCTTAGGTTTTACTTTTTATTTGCAGCCTATTATAATTTTTCACGGTAGGGTATTATGCGAAATGCAACCACAACGATACTGAGATACTTTGCAAAACTCCAGACCGCAGGTGTCTGCAATGTGGAACGAACGCGCTATAAGAATTTCCGAGGACTAACGTGTTCACCACCACACCATACTGGTCCATCGTTTGGCTTTTCAGCCTCCGGAAAAGGTAATAGCGCGTTCGTTTTCCGCCGCAGACACCCGCGGTCTGGAGTTTTGCAAATATCTCAGCATCGTCGTGGTTGTATTTTGCATAATACTCTACCGTGAAAAATTATAATAGGCTGCAAATAAACAGTGAAACATTGTGATTTCAACTACAGCCACAGTTTAACTGTGTTCAATGCCGATATGAGCTTCCCAGACCAATCCCGTTGATGGGTGATTGCTGATGGCACTGATCGATAGAAAAACTAGTTGAGAGACATGCGAAACGACGGGCCCGCATGGGGTGGTGCTGAACGCCCTAGCTCCGCACAGTGTAGTAGCGTATTCGTTCCCCACCGCAGACACCTGAGGTCCGGAGTTTTACCTTTTGGCAACACAGTAATACTGAGGCCTAGTTCACCAATCATTTCCGACTGCTTGATCCTTAGTTGTCAGCACATTGTTTCCAGTCCAATCTATTGTCATAAGAGTTAGATTTTAGATACTTTGAGGTCTAGTTAGTTCCAAATTAATATCATCCTCCAGACTTCATTGGTCATCGTTGAGATCACTGAACGGACATTTGGGTAACACAAGCGCTAGAGTGAGCCAACTGATGTACGAAATCAGCGTTCTTGCCCTCTAAGATAATTCTGATACCAGTGGTTTTTTCGTACATGTCACGTAGGAATTTTCATAGCCTGGAAAGATGAGAGACTAGGTGAGCCTAGGGAGGGATCAGACCAGCACCATGCTCGTGATGATCGGCCTCACTACCGCTGTTCTACCCGCCCCTATATATAACATAGTCACCACTGATATATTTTATTGTGCTTTATGCCTTACCGGATTGCAAAGAAAAAACCGTTGCGTTGGAAGGATTATTATTATACACCATGCACGGATTCCTCGAAAGGGGTGCGTACAACAATACAATGTCACTAATGCTAATCCTTGGTAACGCTCGCCTCCGGGCGAACCATTACCTGTTGCTATGTGGTCGGAGAATCTTATTGCGGAATGATTTAGTGCCTTATCTTCTAGGCACCAGAGATCCTCCTCAAAGTGGGATCTCATGCCGGCTAGTTGCGAGGGAAATGGCGCGCCCCCAGGTGCGGATAGGGAGTTAATCGCAGCCCAAAAGCGACCTTGCTTCTATGAAATAGAGGTATATCCAGCGTAGGGACTCCCTGTTTCTGCTGCACCGACTTGGCACATACTTTCTGCATTTGCTAGGTGTATTCATGCATGCGTGTGTGGTGCGTTCTTGCTTATGCGGATTGTATTCTACGAGTCAATTCGGCCAAAAGCCTGCAATCAAGTGATTGGGAAGTATATAGGAGGTGGTTAGGTGTCGCCTCCAACAAATAAGCTCCATGTCCATTCTGGGAGAGACTGGCAAGCTAACTGTGAGTACGCCCACCCCCACGTTCAAGGCACAACAAGCCATGCGTGGGTATCAAAAGTGCTAAGCAGAGTAAAAAAACGGGCCTCATTCGCTGACCCCGAGAGAGCCCCAAATTCGGCAGCGTTGGGTAGGACGAGTTAGGAGAGGCTGCTAAAATCTCAGGACCATTCTACGTTGCCTAAATCGCAAAAGACTATGGTCACAATATGCACCTACAATGCACACACACTTGCATCTGAGTCCTGCACGGAAGGCTTGACCATGCAGGCAAGAAAGGTTAGGCACGATGTCATCGTACTGGCTGAGACGAGAAGACGCCACCCATTCAACACCGTCTGTGACACCGGAGAACTATTACTCGGAACATGCGACAGCAGAGGAGTCGGCGTCCTCGGCGTTCTTGCCAGCACGATTTCGGCCATGAGCATCGATTGATTCAAACAACTAACACCCCGAATCGAATGTTTGCCACTGAAGAGATCGATTGAAGACTTGCGGATCAATATGGGCTTTGAAGTTTTCGTCATTTACGCGCCGATATCAAACTATGACGAAGAAGAAGTTGAAGTGCCCTATATAGACTAGGACAAGTTTTACAGAGAACATCAAATATTTTCTAAGGCTATCATTGGAGATTTTATCGCAAGGACTAGGCACAGAAGAACATCTGAAGAACGTTATATTGGGAGCCACGTATTAGAATGGAACAGGCAGAGTGAGCGCTGCCCGAGTTTATCATTACCACTATTTATGCTAACTCGCAATTCCAGAAGCAGCGCTCTAAACGCTGCAAGTGAGAGTCTCCCACTGGAGAGTACCATGACAAAGTAGGCCACGTTATAGAAAATCGAAGGTTTTTCCTAGTCGATGTCACAATTGTACCAGAATTCAACATGAATCCTTTGCGCAAAATTTCACTTCTCTCGGAAAGGAGAAAAAGCGTCTCAATTCAAAAAACATGCTCCTGAAACTATTATAAATTGGGATTTATTCAGTGCATTAGTCAGCTGTTGAGAAGATAGCGTTCTCTTTAACATCGACGAAGAACACGATCTGCTCATTCAACATCATCACGTTAGCGATATGAAAACTGAGGCTTCGAAACCAAGAAACGCCTGTCTCCGGAAATACTCTAGCTGGTACGCCAGCGTGGAATCACACGAGTTGCAGGCAACCGCTAACTCACGTCCGAACTTACAAAACAAGGAAAAGAGGCGGTAAAAGAGGATCTTAAGGTGAGAAGAGTAGCAGTTATGGTCGAAGCTGCAGGGGCAGGTAAGAGCATTCGCGGGCCCACGGAAGTTTCGCCAATTACAAAACCAGGATAATTGCACTCCGACGCTTAGGCGGAACAGTTACAGCATACAGAGAGGCAGTGGAGAAAATAATTTACGATTACTACTCAAATCTCTTCAAAAGCCAGACCGTTTTCCCTCAAGTGAAATAAAGGAGTACATATATATTATTCCACCGTTCCTCCCTTCCGAAATCCGACATACTATTTCGTCGGTGAAAAATCGAACAACACCCGGTACGGATAGGACAAGATCTGAACGCCTGAAGAACGTTCCACTAGTTTTTAACATAAATAAATATATCAACTGTCTATGCCGAGGTTCATAGAAAGTCGGTCTTTCGAGTTCCACTAGTTCTCATAAACGCACTAGCTCGGTACTCCACACGTTACCTTTATGAATACAAGGTTCCCGATCAGTGCAAGACCAGCGAGACGATGTTGTTGTTTAAGAAGGGTGACCTCCATCAGCAACTATCGCCAAATCTGCTTACTGTCTGTCGTCTAAAATCTCTTCACTTGATTCATTCTGAACAAAAGTGAGAGAACACTGGTCGAAGGATAGCCATGTGAGTAAGCAGCGTTTCGAAAAGAATTCAGTACAACGCATGACATTCACATGATAACAAGATGAAGTATCACGAGAGTTCAAGAGTTTGCTTAGTCTCACTTTCATCGATTTAAAGAAGGCTTTTGACTCCGTTGAGAATAAAGCAGTCATAGAAGCCTTGGATAGTCAGGGTGTCCCTACACAGTATAGAAATGTTCTTACTGAACTGAATAAAGAATTTCACAATCGAGATATCACCATTCTGCAAAGATATTAACATTGACGTCAAAAGAAGGGTTAGGCAAGGCGATACGATCTCGCCAAAATTATTTACCGCCACTCGCCAAAACGCCATGCCATCACTGGAATGGGATAATATGGGAGTCAGAATCGATGGTCGGCAGTAACATCATCATCGTTTTTATAACATCAAACATTAGCCAAGCGAAATGAATGCTTGCTGATTTTATAAAGCCTGTGGAAACATTGGGCATCGACTAAATCTCACAAAAACGATATCAGTGAGGAGCACAACACACTGGTTTCGTATGCCCCATTCACGCTTAACGGAACGAAGATCTCCGAATGCTCCAGTTACGTCTATCTAGGTCGGGAAATCAACATGACGAACGACTTGGCTCCAGAGTTGAGCAGGAGTAAACGGGCGGCTTGGGGAGCTTTCAAGATTATCGAGGATGTAGTGAAGAGGACAAAGAACACCCGACTTCGTGCCTACCTTTTCGACTCAACGGCACTTCTTGTCTTAACGTATGCGTCAGAAACCTGGTCGTCGCGTAAGCAGGATGAAAGATCACTCAGCGTTATCGAACGCGCAGTCGAAAAACGATGCTACGAGTATCCCATTTTACAGAAGTAAGAGATGGAATCCGAAGCTCCGACCTGCGTCAACGATCAAAAATCAAAGATGCCGTTCTGTACACCAAATAGTTGAAGATAAGGTGGGCCGGACACGTAATGCATATAAATGACAACCGATGGACAAGAGTCGTTAGTGACTGGATTTTTCTGGATGTCAAACGTACTGCAGGAAGACCACCGATCCGATGGTCAGAGTTCTTCACGAAGAGTCTAGAAGAAAGATATGATGCCCGACGAATCCCTACAGCGATCAGAGGCCACTGGGCTACTCTTGGACGCGGCAGGCAAAATTGGAAGATTTACTGGTGCCTGTCGAATCATTCGACGATCAAGGGGACCGCTCTTGAATCATTAGGTGAACTTCCTTCAGTAATTCTGCTAGACAAAACCTCATTCATTGTGTAAGCCTTGGACTCTTTCCTATCCTTGCGTTAAGTAAAACAGCAGGTGTTTGTAAGAGGCTTTTGCAAATACTCGTTCGTTTTAGATTATTGGTTTCAGTTAGTATTCGCAGTGTTTGGCGCTGATTGGTGCCCGTACTCAAGGAATTTGCAACCGATCTTCAGTGAAGCTTCAGAAGTTTTTAAACAAGATCATCCATCTGCTGATGTGGTTTGGGCCATTGTTGATTGCGTCGCACAGGTTTGTTTCCATATTATTATTGTCGTTGTGATTATAATGCAAGAAGATGGTATAAGTATGATTCGACGTTCTGATGGACTACTCTGTCACAATACTAACATTGGCAACCTATCGATCTTGGTTTCCAACGCGAACAAAGCTTCACATTTTTACTATAGCCATCTTATGTGCTTTTCCTCCAGTAACCTAACCGACCCACAGTGGACAAAGACAGCAGTAGCATGTTCGAATCATTTTTCCTAGGTTGTTGTTCTACAAATCCATTACAGTGATGTCACTGCAAAAAACGACTCATTGCACCGTTTCATCAGGGCCTGTGTAGTAATCATGCACTTCTCTTGAAGCATCTATGGTTCGATCGTTGTTCGGTGCTCATGATAGTATTTTCAATGAACTTACTTAATTGATACTTGAATGGCCCGTCCTCACTAGTTGTACGGGCCCTAGGATAATCTCCATTTTCGGAGATTTCCTAGTTAAGCCACTGTGGTTCCCTGGAGTCCCGAGGTCAGCTTGGGCAAAGTCTACACCAAGTCTTGACCACCACAGGCAGTCGCCGGCCTTTGTGAATCAAAGGGAGATTTGCCACCATGCTACTTTAATACCAGGACGGTGGTGGATCGTGGCATTGATTTGCTCCTAGCTGGGCTTCCTAATGGAAAGCCGGACTCCTCCCCATCATTGGAGACCCTGCTAAGAGATGAATTCCTGCTATACATCGCAATCCGACGTCCTGGAACACCTACCAGTGATGATGAAGCGGTAAACCGTTGGGAAGATTTCCGATGAATGCTACCTTAATTGCAAACTTTAATTTTCGATGAATACCGCCGTAATCCGAGTGCTCGAAAAACCTGAATTGCAGCAAACCGTTTGCGATCGATATTTTGTGGGAAAGTTCCCAACGCTTAAGGTGTTCATTCATGGTGATGTGATGACTAACGAATACAGGTAGGCAAAGGATTTACTATAAATCAATGCGATGAAACTTGTATTCAACTGCGCACATCGAACAAATGACTTTTCAGAATTTGTAACTGGTAAACTGTTGGAAAAACCTTAAAAAGTCTAGAAATAACAATGTTTAATTTTTTATCTACTGCTTATTGTTGTTTCATGACAGGGTGTTATGTGAAATACAACAGCAATGATGATGAGATATTTGCAGAACGTGGGGCCCAACCCAGATCCGAACTCTTCACTGCTCTTTCGGGGGGCTCACGTGTTACCCAAGCAACCCTGAGGCCCTTGTTCTTTCTTTCTCGAATCTGGTTTGGGGTTTCAGCATCACTGTGGTCGTATTTCACACAATGTCCTGCTGTCGAAAAATGCTAGGTAGTAGATAAAAGGTTAGGCATTATGATTTCGACTACACCCTCATCTTGATATGGTTTCATCTCCGATTTGTGCTTTCCAGATCATTTTCGTTGACGTATGATTGCTGATAGGATTGTTAGGGTATAAAAACATGGAAGAAAGGCAGTGTAAGGGCCTCAGTGATGCAGCGGGTAACACCCCTAGAAAGGGTAATCGAGCCTTCAAATTTGGTCTGGAGTACAAGCGTTGCAAATATCTAGGCATCATTAAAGTTTTTAAATAATTGTATAATAAAAAGTAATAGGCTTCACTCCAGGAATGCTTGTTCGTACACATTGTATAGTTTTCAGTCCGTTACCTGAAATAGCTACTGGTAAAATCCGAGCCTTAGCGTGAAGTATAGGACTGCTTCTCGGAGTGCGCTAAGTGAAATGGCGAGATAATAGATGAGAATCGTTTAAGAAGTTTTAGAAATTGAGGAGTTTGAATCCTAAAGAGACGATATTCTTGCTATCCGAAGATTGGAGGTGTTATGAAAGACCGATGTTTGTTGTATATTCATTTGTTTCCCAAATACAATACCACAAACAAAAGCCACGTATCTTAACCCTTTTATTTAGTGCCTTTTTCTTTTTAATGGCAGGGTATGTTGCGAAATATAACTCGTATATAATGCTGAGATATTTGCAAAACTCCAGCTGACGGGCAAAACGAACGGCCCGGATGGTGTGGTGGTGAAGTGCGCTGCTCCCCGGTAAGGACAACAGCGCGCGTTCGTTTCCCACCGCATACACCTGCGGTCCGGAGTTTTGCAAATATCTCAGCATTATATACGTAGCCACGTAGTTTGTTTAGCTTAATTCCGTCTCCAACTTTGGCATAGGAAATTCATCAGATTTATCGGCTCCTACTCATCAATAAAATTGGCTAGGGTTTCGTAAATTGCTGAGAAGCTTAGAAATGAAGAATAGGATACGCAGCGACGATACTGCGTTTCTGTCCAGAGCATGGCTCTTCCACACGCATTATCTTTGAAGGATAATTGTTCCTTGACATGTGTGCCCCACCGCCATTACCAATACAAAGATCAATAGTGCCAGTAGAAAAAAGGATCATCCATTCGACTTCTTCGTGGTGTTGTTGTCTTGAAGAAACGGCATCAATCACTATCTTCCTTCATTCGAAACTTGCAAAAAAAAACCTTCTACACTACTCGAGAAGAAAGCAGTGGTTGCTTTATGCTTAGTCAGGTGGTCTTGGCTTTGAATATGCAGCGTTTCTTCGTGAGGAAAACTGGATCACCATGGAACAGTTTGTGAATAAAGAGAGGTCAGGCTTTATAACAGTGCATAGCATATTCTCATAACTTGCATCCATTTTGTTATCCTGGAGATCTCTGCAAAGGGTTTTCTAGCCGTGGAAGAAAGATAAGTGTTAGAGAAAACTCAGAGCAGAGTAATTCTGAAGAGAACGTCTGGACACAAGAGGTACAACTTTAATTTCCTATAGCTGAGGGTTTTTCCCTTCAGTAGCATAAAGAGTTAATGGATCAGCGTACCACGTGCACCAGGCAACATAACGCTGATTTCTTTTCAGCTGGAAACAATCTACTGTATGTTGTCATAATGCGGATAACAGCACATTTTGAAATAAGGAGCTTTTTAGTGGTGGAGACTTTTTGGAGCTACACTTTCCGGGAAGAAGTGTCCTAAGAGATCTTTGACAATAGTTTTCGTTTAGTTGGTTCATGTGCTGTGCAGGCTCTCTTCCGAAGAGAAGACCTCTGTATAGCCTATGACATGCAACCAGAATTTTCCAAAAAGAATTCAGTTGCACTCACCTGATCAAAAAAGGAGATTAGTTCATGGAAGACCAACTAATGTCTTATTCCAGTCTTTGTTGGTTGCTAAAGAGCGTTTGATAGCGTTCAAATATGAGCAAACACTTGGGCTATGCTTCAAGGGAACAAAGGAGTAAGTAGTCCGTTCTTCCGTGAACCCTATCATATTGGCTCTTCAATGATTCAGCTCTCCTAAATCTCCCTTGTAATTTCTCCATTCCTTCGCAAGGGTGATCCGAAGAAATATTATGTTGCCAAAGACTTTCAAACATACGTTTCAAGAGAAATTTACTACAAAATAAATTATTTAACGAAGATATCGTTATTTCTTAAAAGTACCACTGGAGCACTATAAAGAGGCCCAGAAGCGGATCGGACTGCAAGAAAGCTAACCAAAGCTCATTTGATGAATAATATCCTACAAGATGAATGCATACATACTGCAATGTGGAGTATAAAAAGATAAAATCCTAATCGTTAACCAATCCTTGAGCGATGCTTTGGGTATTCGACTCCACTGGACACCGTATAGGTGACTGAATGCATATATAGCCTTTACAACGACTTGCGGAGAGCTACTGATGCATTCAAGATTCTTTATCTTGCTATACAAGTCTCGTACCACTCGGTCTACCACGGAAGGCTGAAGGGCACGAACGCGGAGCGCGGTATCGAACAAATACCGACTTTGTATATTATAGAAGGACTCTAAACACTGAGATACGTGTCGCTGCTGGGATTACTTAGTCGGACTCTTGGATGGTCCGTCTTCACCGGTGGTGCGGGTCCCAGCATAATTTCTCCTCGTTTTCTTCAAACTCAGTCCTTCTTACTAAGTGAACGCCCATCTGTATTTCGTGATCGATGTACATTCTCCTGGATCTTGAATTTAGGACAAAGTTTGTTTTTTGACTGTTAATTACTGCTGCTCTAAATTCTAGCTGATTGTGCTGCCGTGATTAAACGAAAAAGAAGAAAATCAAGGAACCATTTCGCTGAAAAAAGTATACATCCCGACGATGAAGTCCATAAACTTATAATGAGTTCATTGAAGAAATATGAACCATGAATCCAAAGAGTGGAATTCTTTGGATATAATCTTACAGCTTGTGTTACAAACTACATGCTTTTGACTACAGCCTCAGCTTAACTGGGTTTGTTGTCGATTTGGGCTCCTCAGATCAATCCCTTTAGCGGGTGATTGCTAATGGCTGTGGTCGATAGAATTAGCTGAGAAACAGGCGAAATGAAGGACCTGCATGGTGTTGGGGCGAACGCGTCAGCCGCCGGAAAGGGTAATAAGGTATTCGTTCCCCATCGCAGACGCCTGCTGTCAGGAGTTTTGCAAATATCTCAGCATCATTGTGGTTACATCCTCGTATTTCACTGGGTTTAACCGGTTGCGAATGTTCTCGAAGGGCGATCTATACGAGTGTTTAAAGTTAATTGAATTCGGAAAAATTCATCTCGAGCTGTACGCAAGGGGTATGCATGACCATGTAGGTAAAACCGTGTGATTTTTTCGTAGTTTTCCCGCTTACACGAAATGACTTGAATCACTTCAATCAATTCAGTTACAGTCAGTGACATTTCCGCCGCTATCAAATTTATTTATTTGATTTGTCTTGTTTGAAATTTCATTATGTCTTGATTCTAATGAGAAGTTCGCGCAGAGCACACCGTGCTGTGCCTGATCTGGTTGCTTTCGTGGCTGAGCAGTATGCGGGTTCGATACGTGAATTCAAAGACGATCGTGATTTGGAAGGCAAACTAAGCACATCTCCTCGCAACGTGGTCGCTTACATTCAACGAGGAGGAGAACCTTATAAAAATCTCTTTGTGAGTGAAACAAGTGTGGATAGAATTTTGTACTTTAAAAATGGCTCTAGCAGCTTTCGTTTCCGACGTTCTTGTTGTGGGATTATGATTCTTTACCGTTCTGTGCTTAATGGAAGGAAGAGAACGGTATTTTTACACTATAGACAACATTTCTCGAAGGAAATTCTCATGTCGAATGGTCTGTGCTAGTCACAGTGTTGCTCGACTAACTCGATATGATCACAATGTTCTCATTCAACACCTGGCAATTTCAGAACATCGCCCAACTTCTCCGAGATTACTGTAGCGTTTGGGTTCCAGAAGAAAAGTTTGCAGAAAGCCTCACGAAATTCCATCTCTACTATAAGGCACAGGGAGAGGTTAACAGATCGCATGTAAGCAACTGTTTCACATATTTGATGTACTAATTCTGACTTGTTTCGGTACCGTCCCTACATGTAAAGCTTTTTTTCGTAGTTCTTTCAGTTTATTGAATTCATAACCGTATGAATCTTACCAAATCACCGTATTTAAAGAAATTCACAATCTTACGGCTCACATATGACTCTCATGGGCATTGTATGGTTAAGCCAGCCTGTTGTCTTTAACACTCCGCTCTATGTCGTTTTTTCGACAATCGACGATAATTTCTCCATCACTAGAGTCTTTCAAAAAAATAGGGACTTATGACTTTAATAGAAGCATTGATCTACTGCCTTAATCATATATATATATATATATATATATATATATATATATACAGCTCTCCCTTGTTGAGTTGCTTCAGAGATCAAAGCGCGAATACTGTCAAAAAGTGGAAAAACTTCTCGTGGAATCCATAGATCGCGATTTCATCCCACGAAGAAAATTGTACCTTCTAGGCAAAAATCTTTGGATTTCAATGATTCATATTGAAGTAATAAAGCTTACTATGAACCCAATCTCTTTGCATTCAAAGTTCTAACTACCACTAATTTCGCGAAATTTGCAACGGAACCAATATGTTCCGGGCGTTAGCTGTGAAAATAACATCTCTTCTTTGAAAGAGGAATTTACTCTCGCTTTCTAAAGCATAGGATATTTCCTATTTTACCGAAATGAAAGTACGCGTGCGGCGCAGTGGTCGGAGGCGCGCTGCGACACATGCATGGGATCGATACCCCCTTCCTTGACACACCAATTCCTCCATCCCTTCGGGGTTGACAAATTGGTACCAGATTTGTCTGGGAGGATAGCAGCATTGGCTCGATACATCGGTAAGCCACCGCGAGTCACTGTAAAGGCCATATATGCATTCAATCACCTCCGACGATGCTTAATGAAGTTGAATGCATGGCGCATCCCTCAGGGATTGATCAATAGCGAGTGCTTTATCCTTTTTATCCTTCAACAAAATGAAATTCCATGAAATTTCTGGAATCCATGGAACTTAGTTTCTATTTCCTTCGTCAAGGCTCGTATTTCTCACAAGTGAGATTAGCCCAACAAAACATAATGTTTTCCAAAAATGCATTGTTGATGTCTGAGGCCAAAGCACTTGAAAGTTCGAAAAATTTTAAATATCTTTCTAATTTTTTACGTGTTTTAATTTTAAGCGTGATTAAAATCGAGTAAATATTTTACAGAAAATACTCCCACCATTATGCGCTGGAGCTAAGCTTCTTTTGTAAGCCTGTCTATTCCTCAGCTTTTGAAACACTTCAGTTATCGGGAAATGATAGGCAGTTATCGAAAAAACAGACTGACTGTAGATGTGCTCACAGGCGCAGCTGCTAATGGCTAGTAATGAGTCTCGGATTTGAGTTCTTAGTCCGATTTTTGTAAGTATTTAGTTCACCGGTGATCTTAATAACTACACGGCACTTAAGCAATGGGTCATTGACAAGTGCGTTCCGGTGGTCAGGTGTGTTCAGCTTTTCATCTCTTTTGGGAAGCAAATGCTAGTTGTGATTAGCTAGAACGTTTCTGTTGGTGTCGTTTAGTGAAACTTTTCTGCTTTTTTAAATGGTTTTTAGAGAATTTTTTCAAGGTAGATCTCACGCCTTTTATTTACGTTGACCATTTTAAACCCATACCACTTATTACGTTGTTAGGTCAAAATGCATGTTTCATCACTCACTGATTTCTATTCAGTTTGGCCTGTCGGAGCTTTTCATACACTCCCGAAGTTCAAAGTAAAGCCGCGGAAATAGCCCGCAATATCGACGCTGCAGTACAGTCGGTGACAGTTTCTCGACCAGTGACGAGGAACCGTCATTGACCCAACAACGTAGCAACTTTTTCTCAAAATAATCATAATTAAAGTCTCGTCAATAACGAAGTTTGGAAACTTCAACCAAATATCCCACTAAGAGTTCGCTACCTTGTAGACGGAGTTGGTAAACTCGATGCAACGGTCTCCGGTCAAAGCTGAAGAATAAAGACATGAAATCTGAAGAATCATTCTTATTTAGAAGTGAAGCAAAAAGATCGTTGTTTTTAATCTTTTTCCGTAATTTTTTATGCAACAAGGCAATCCGTTTCTTGATGAAATATCAAAATCCATCTCTAAGGACAGATCTCTATTAAAAAAACCTATTTGGGTCTTGAAAGTTTTAATTCATCCTCACGTTTTCGAGTTCGAGTAAACTAATAGTCAACCCTAATCTCTTCACTGTTAACGACAGCTTCACGGCATAAAAGTGTCCCCAGAAAACGGCCAGTCTGTACCAGGAACTATAGCGTATGTTGCAAGTACTGTTCAGTCGAAAGCGCCAGCTCTGTTAGACTATAACACTAGAAAAGTTGGGAAGCTATGGAACTTTTTCAAAGCCGTAATGATTATCGCTCGCAAAGCGGTTTCTATTTCTTTTATCATCACAAGCACTACTTGTTGGAAATAGTCATCAAACACCTTCAAACGATCGGTGCACTAACCACAAGATTGACTTCCAAAGCAGCATTCGCTGCTGCTGTGGAAAAATTCGATTTGTCGGGTAACAAACTTCTTTTCTATCAGTAAGCTCTGACCATGTTTCGCCGTTCTGCTATGGAGGCTCGGAACTCGGATGTCGGGGTTTCAGAGGAGATCACGGTCGAGCAGAATTCAGTATGTCAATGAGTACAGGAAATGACCGGTTCTCAAGTTATAGAGGAACGCACAGACATCTCGCCACCTCTGTAGATATCATTTGCGAGACAATAGAACAAATGGAAGAACTGGTAGGACCACGTAGGACATAAAGTGTTGCTGTCGAAGCACCTATTTAACTATAACAATAAAGTAAATGTATTTACACCTTATTGGGAAAGTGTTTAGCTACTGAGGGAGTTTGTCTCAAACAATGAGATTCTATAATACATGAGATAAGTCGTGCTTTAAAGTTGAACGTTAATAACTCTCACTACCAACTAAATCGTTTGTCGTTCGAAGCTATTTGCTAAAGATAGCTCTCGACTGATCGGGTCGCTTTTTCCTATATTGAGCACAAACATTTAGCCATTGATTAAGAATAATCACATTTTTCGCCTTCTAGAGAGGTGACGTTCGAGAATGTAGAAGGCATCACAGAAGAAGGTCTTCCGTTTCTCATCTATTTTAGAAATCCTGAAAAAAAAGAAGAAGACCGGGTGTTTGTTGATGCGGTAAGTGCTTCTAAAAGATTTCATTGGTGCTCATATTTAACACAAAACACTCAACGTTTCTTAAACTTGCGTAGTAAGACGCCTAATTTCATGGATACTTCACAAAAGTGAAACTCGTTTGCGATCTAATACTTACGCAGTGACTACTGTTTTCACGGGAACGGCACGAGAATCAGAGCTCGTCCACGATTTGAGCATGTTGATGCCGGCTTTCCGACAACAGACAGCAAATTTTGGGCAGCTGGAGTACTTGCGGAGTTAAGAACATCTTCAAACTTATCACTTCGTTTTACCACTCCAGAGTTATACATGGGAGTATTTTTCCATGTTTTACTGCCATGCAAGCACTATCCCATCGGCATTTAGAAGAATTTTTCAACTTCTGCGAAGCGTATTTTGGCATTACTTGCATCCGACCATTCCACACGATATCTCCGACTTGACGCACAACAATTAGAAAAAGAAGTGAATGTTGACTTTTTACTTTACTGCCTTTTGAAAGTTTTCACGACTGGGTGTTATGCGTGAAACAACCACAATTATGCTGAAATATTTGCAAAATTGCGGACCGCAAGTGTCTGCGGTGAGGACCGAACGCTCTATTACCCTTTCCGGGAGCTAATGCGTTCATCACCACACAATGCGGGTCCTTCGAAAAAGTGAACGTTGCTCACAAAATAAATCTGATGTGCTTACATAGCAAGCAATGCCTATTTTCTAACATCCTTTAATAATTTTCGATAGCTGAAGGTTTTCAGAAGCGGAGAATTTCTATACTCGTACAAGAGACTTTGTTCTATCTTTCTAAAAAATACCGTTTTTAAAACTTTGCTTTTATTTTGGGCATACTCAATATTCAATCTCTATGCAGTAACATAAGTCGCTAATTAGGAATTGCATGGCATAGATTGCAGCCTGGTGTTCTGTTTCAAGTAATGGATTTTCAATATCCGACTCCAAGTTTAATAACTGGAAACGTTCTTACCGGAAAAGGCAAGGTAAAAAAGATAAAGCTCTAGGCGTTGATCAATCCCTGAGGGATGCGCCATGCATTCCACTTCATTAAGTATCGTCGGAGGTGATTGAATGCATATGTGGCCTTCACAAAGACTCGTGGTGCCTTATCGATGTATTGAGCCAATGCTGCTATACTCCCAGACAAGTCTGGTACCAATTTGCCGACCCCGGAAAGGTGGAAGGCTTCGTGGGCTGTGGGTGCGGGAATCGATCCCGTGTGTGTGTCGCAGTGGCGCCTCCACCCACTGCATCACGCGCTCCCATTACCGGAAAAAGCAGGCCGATTTAATCGATTTAGAAAAATATATCAAAATTATTGTTAAAGACGAATGTTTAGAAATTTGCGGAAAAAATTATGAAAGACCGTTGAGCTGTTTAGTGTATCCTGAAAACCACTGATTGAACGCAGCTTAACACATTGGCGAGGGCTAATTTTATGTGGCAGGCAACATAGGACGATTCCTTATTGGCCCCTCCCAGTTTGCGTGTTCTTCTTTTTCACTCCTTCAGCTAGTTTTTTCAGGTTTTTCGTCTTCGTTCTATGTTTTTATACTTCTCGTTTCCACCAATTTCTTCTGCGCACACTTCCAGGTTTCTGCAGCATATGCATCTGTCACCCAAGAGCTCGCGTAGCGCAGTGGTTAAAGGTGGGCTGTGATGCTTGTGGTCGACTTCGCGCTCGACTCCAAACAAGCTCGCCTCCCTCCAGATCGGCAAATTGCTGCCAGTCTTACCTGGGAGAATGAAAGGCGTGAGGTTAGGTTTAGGTCATCGGGCAATGTCGTGCCTCACAGCTAGAGTTAGTCTTCGTTAACTGTCTGTAATGGATCAACAGTTCCTGCTTTGATTCACATAACCTACCCAATAAAATATTTATGATGGATACTTGGGATTCTGTTGTAAACGATGCGAAGAGATAGGGGCAAGGAAAAGACTGGTCGTAACAGGCAACTGTTGAAGAGATAAAACCACCCACCCATTGGCTTCTACCTTAAAATAAGGAATGTTAGACTGCATATCTGACTTGGTAGTTCCGTACCCATTCAGGATTAGAAATGCAACTCGCTCACCGGTAATGAACAAACTACACAATTTGTTGGTTTAAACGAGAATGCATACCGTGTAGCGACAAGCATGCATTTGCCTCGTTGCCTGAGAGATTGCTCAAGAGACGAAAAGTTTTATCAGAACGTGGAGGAGTACTAGAGGAATACTAAGCGGAGGCAATCGAAGGCTTAGAAAAATCACTGTAGTATAATATTAGTAAAATAGATAAAAAAGAAATGACGTTACCAACTCGTCCGAATTCAAGTCGTGTGGGAAATCCTTGGTGAAAACCACATAAGGACGGGTGTGGAGGGAGCCACCTTCTTGCCTCTTGTCACTTCAGAAAATTTTTAGCACTTTTCGCATGCAGTTCAATCTCACGAAAAGGGTTTTAGGAATATTTGATGGTTGCAATGACAGTCAATATATTCAGGTGGTTCGTGAACTGCACGAGCAAAGAATGTCGGTTAATCCGTTGTTGGCTGACGGCTTTAAATTTACGCACCCACTTCATCACCTCGGAAAAACTGTAGATGTAAGTTGCTTCCTGTTGAAGACAACTTCTCATAATTCTTTATATTTTAGCAAACGCGAGGTGTTATTTTATTCTTTCTCCAAGAACAAGCTGACATTTCGGCGGATTTCGTCTTCATCAGCGCCTGGAAAAGTTAAGTTAACCTCAATCGACCCCACCAAATGTTTTCATAACCAATCTTGTTTTAGCATTTTCTGAAATCTTACCTTAAAATTTTCAATCCTTGGTTATGGAACTGCTTGGCTGCGTGGATTGTCGTCAACTTGACCTTTCCAGGCTCTGAGAAAGGCGAAATCCGCCGAAACGTCAGCTTGTTCTAGAACAAAGAATGAAATAAGACCCCGCGTTTGCTCAACAAAAATATAAAGAATTATTTTATCAATATCGAGGTTGATAGAAAGTCGACCGACCGTGAGAATTATTACAACCTATCACATCTCATAAGGATTTGAGATCAAAAAAGCCCTCGTTGTGGAAGAATTGGAGCAATGAAAAGGTCCAATCTTAAATAGTGTAGGTTTCAACGCTCCGTATTTCCTCACTTTCTTTAAAATATTTTCTATACATCTACTTGATGTTCACTTGAAAACTCCAACAAATATATTTGATAAAGAGACGTGCTAGCCTCAGCATAATTCCCGCCCAAGGAGTCAAGTTTTGACTGCGCCAAATTTTGTTTTTCTGAAATGTGGCAAGCGGTACTACCACTTTAACAGATCGTCTACACAGGAGGTCCCCATTCTGCATATTCGCATACAACGCTTGTCAGTAGTGATCAGATTGCTGCAGAGAGCGCTCCAATTCATGGAATGGACATTCTACTAGTTTTGCTTCTGGATAACAACGTCGGTCACCTCATAATGTGGAGACCTCGATGATAGTTGGAGCATCACTGCAGTTCACCGCACGTCGCAATTTGACACGAACGAACACCTCCAACGGGTATAAAGCACTCAAAAGCATCTAGGATGAAATAAACTCGGGAAACTGAGTCAGGACACTTGGTTCAATATAGGTTAAACTGAAAATTTCGGCATAGTTGCAAAATTCAGGATCTTCCCGTTTTGGCCATCGATTCCTTTAAACACATGTACCTATTTCCAAACATCTCACAACTGTCTGAGCCGGGAGTGCTAAAGCAGGTTCGCTTTGTTTCAGCAACTATGCGAAACCATTGAGGGTTCTAGAATGAGAAATTATTATGTGAAAGCTCGCTGAATATTGGGAAACTTGAAAAGCCGTTTCTCAGTTCGTAAACGACCTTCACTCTGGGGATTTGCACAGACGCTTACACCAAACACCTAAACAAAAGCGCGAAGAACTGGAACAGGCCAAAGAGGAACTCGATGCTCAGCCCGATCTGACTGATCACCAAGAAAAACTAGAACATACTGAGAAGGTGAGTGGAGACTTTATTTAAATGGAGAGTACTTCAAGAATTGATTCAGATCTCTTGCAAAAGACTGAAGTCTTGCATTTTTTTTATAAATGCACTTTAATACAATTCCTACTTTTAAGGTTCTCTTAATGCTAAAAGGGCGTCTTTTCAAGGTAAAGGTTACAGAGGTCGCATGCGCAAACTATTAAAGCCGCAATTAATCATCGCATCGCACCTTTTTTTGGTAACTTTCATCTTAACAAGTAGTACCCTAATATAAAGGATAAAAGATAAAGCTCTCGGCGCTGATCAATCCCTGAGGGATGCGCTATGCATTGGACTTCATTAAGCATCATTTCGAGGTGACTGAATGCATATCTGACCTTTAGAATTACTCGCGGTGGCCTACCGATGTATCGAGCCGGTGCTGCTATCCTCCGTGACAATCCTGGTGCTAATTTGCCGACCCCGGATGGAAGGAAGGCTTGCTGTGTCATAGGGGCAGGGGTCGATTCCACGTGTGTGTTGCAGGGCACCTCACGCACCAGTACTCTAACATAATTCAGTGAAATATAACTCGTATGAAGTGCTGAGATACCTGCAAAACTCCGGACCACAGGTGTATACAGTGGAGAACGAACACACGCTGTTGTCCTTACCGGGGAGTAGCGCACTACACCACTACACCATAATTCAGTGAGTTTGGCCAAAGACGTCGTCTGCAGATCCGGCTATTCCTCATGGTCAACAAATCACTGAGTTGACGATCTTCCTTGAGATGGCTTTACAGCTCGAATCGAACCTTCAGCTAATGAGGGTTGTTCTCATTTTGTGATCCCCACATTCATCTCTTCGTTCACGTTACGACGCCATAGAAACGTCATTTGGAGTTCGTCACTCTGTCTTCTTTTGTCACATTTTTAAAGAGGTTTAAGAACCACTTTTGGTGCTTTCTGTTTTTTTTGAATTATCCATGAATGTATATGTAATGTATGTAATGTAGCCCTCTATCTCAGATGAAGTTTACGGCAATGCATTGGATAACCCTTCAGGTCGGCAGTTCATGTTCAGTTTCTGGTTTTTTTTCCACTTTGAAGTTTTCTTTGCCCTTATTCTCCTTACGCTTCGATGATACAGCAAGGTTCGTCTCCAATCCAGCGGTCTCTGCAGTATATGATGAAGACGTTAACAAGGTGCACTTTTAGAAGTTTGCTGACACTAATGCATCTCGTTTCCGAATTGAAATTTTGATTCACATGGGTCGATTTACCGAGCAGCTTTGTTCAGCATGCTCAGTAGTCAGTTAACGTGAGGGTGAATGATCATTTCTGTGATGTCATAACGCTTATAGCTTTCTGAGTCGACTTTAAAGCCAGGTAGCGGAAATCCTTGGTGGCAGTTCTTCAATTGGAACAACTGGCATAGTTGCCAAAATGTTGAAAAAAGCCACTTAATTTTTTGTTGGTTAATTTAACTCCTAATTGTAGATGAAATTGTTTGCTTTTATTGGCTGAGAGAACTGCAATCAGATAGTTTATGCACAGTCTATGAGAGAACCGTACTGTAGCTTTTTGTTTTCTTCCGATGTTTTAACACAGTGGTCTTGGGTCTCATCGTTGTTTAACGCACAATTGGGAACGGCACTCTTGAGGTGTCAAATGCGACCCACCGCGATCTAGTCCACCAGCATACGGCCTTGTCTTTTTGCTCGCTTTATTATTTGAGTTTTTTGTTCTCTATCGGTATTCAATGTGCTTTTTATATTTTACGTGTCCTCCATGTTCAATGTGTCTTTCTTACTTTCGGAACATGTGCATCTCTTTCATATGACGAAAGAAAAGGATGACCATAATCAAGGAACATTGTTGTCAACAGATTTTTGTTTATTTCAAGCGCAGAATGCAGTGTTTTTGACAAGGCTTTCCACAAAATCTGTTTTGGGTAGGCTGTCGAAGGACTAGGCAACGCTCAGCAAAATAGCTCTCTATTGGAAAATAAACGGCTGAAAAGAAAATGCACTGTTTATGATGAGCCACAATCAGTTCACCTGATAACACAAACATCATATTGGTGCATCGCAACATAGTAGGATAAATAGCAGCGTTTAAATTTTTATTGTTATTCTAGGAACTGCGGAGTGTTACGACACTCGAGCCAACCCGAGTACCTGAGTCCGTATTCAAGGAGTTGAAGCCAAGCGAAAAGCGTTACTCGATACTTCACAAAACAGAACTCTAGGACAAAAAAGTGCTCATCCCTTTTCATTATGTTGTGTACTTCTAAGATCAATTTGGGAGAAACTCGCTTTTCAGTTGTTTAAGATTTTATGATATAGGACTAAGAAGGAGTTAAATCTACTTTCACTCATTCGCTTTTGAAAAGTCGTTCAACAAAGTCTCTATTACAACCTACAGTTCAGTCATTGGCGAACTGTTCTAGGCTAAGTGAATTTCTCAAGGATCAAAAAAAGGAGAGGCAGACACAACAAGATTCAGGCATTTCAAAACTCGTCTCGAATGTTTTTTTTGTAGCAACAATCAGACTTCAAACAGCAGTCTTCAGTGCAATAATGCTGTGCCATTCCTGCCAGAAGGACATGGAGTCTTGAAGTAGGTGTGGGGTCGATGCCTGCCATACCAACTACTAAGCAACCTTAGCATCTAAAACTGCTTTTCTCACTGGATTATGGCACATGGCACTCTTCCAGATGACACTGCAGCTGATTGTTTTCGAGAGGACAGTGTTGACCCAGGCATGGTCTCTCCAAACAAGCAGGTACAGTGAGCCGATGTCCACTTAGTTCCAGCTTTTCTACTTTTTAGTTCGCTTTCTGTTATTCTTCTTTATAAACCCACGTTTTTTCATGCTCTTAGAGTAAAGCATTCTGGATTGCCACGACCGACTTTCTATTAACCTCGGCATTGATCAAGTGATTTTCTTCGTATTTTTGTTGAACAAACGCGGGTTGTTATTATTCTTCGTTCACGATTAAGCTGACGTGTCGGCGGATTTCGCCTTCCTCAGAGCCTGGAAAGGTCAAGTTGATAGCAATCTACTAGGCCAGACGCCTCCATAACCAAACAAAGAAAGGAACTCCAAACCAAGATTTCAATTACGTTGAACACAGCTTTGCACACTCACCGCTTTCTATGAGGTTTCCACTAAGTATGTCACGTAGAGACCAACCGCGCAGAAATCACGTGGAAGTATAATGTGCCCCATTCATCAGAACAGTAGTCTTATATACTGCCCTACATCACGCGTGATAATGAGGCATTCTTCCCTGCGGTTCATTTTCGGAATTCTGGAATTAATCCAGAGTGCCTCGAGAGTTTTTCGCGCCTGTGTTCTTGATTCGCGTGCGAGGATCGTGACACATACTTCGAAGTCGTCCCCGTTATGTCTCTGGGTCCTATGCGTGCCTAGCGGGGTATTTGGTCTATTTTTGCCGACTAGGTGTTCTTTTATGCGGACACAGAGGGGTCTACCCGTTTCGCCAATGTATTCATCACCACACGTCTTACAGGAAATCAGATAAACTATACCCGAGTTCATGCAATCACTGTCTCTACCACTGGGGCAAATTATGCAATTTTGAGTTGCACATAGACGGTCATATAGGCGGTTTCGAACTAGCTGGCGCTTAAGATTACTCGGTGGTATTTTAACTACGCTTACCGAATTCTCTAAGCCCGCCCTTCTCAAGCAGCGTTTTATAGCTGTACTTATATCATTTGAGATGAAGGGTAGGATAAACGGGACCCTTCTATCGCTAGAGTTGTCGTTTGGAGGCCTACGATTTCCTCTACACCTATCCTGAGCCACAGTTTCGTAGCCATTAGAAATGGCTATTTGCCGTGCCAAGTTCCGGGACTCCTCTCTCTGCTCTCTTCCCGTGCACACGTTGGTTGCTGTTCGAAACATGTTTCTTATAAGCGCCCTTTTCGTGTGAGAGGGGTGAGAGGAGAGGTAATGAACCAAGATGTTTTTACTACTTGGCTTTCGGTACCACTTTGTAATGTAGCCATTTTTTGATAGGTGAATATGTACGTTCAAAAATGGAAGCCATTTTTCTTTCGGCTTTTCTCGGGTGAACTTGATATACTCTGACTGTGCGTTTAACAATTCGAAACATTTGTCCATTTCCTTTTGTGTTGAGCAAAGGACAAAGCAGTCGTCTACATACCTACAGTAGAGTAGCGGCCCGAGATCGGTCACCGGTGCTTCCACCTTAGACATAAATTCAATGGCAAGGCTTGGAGCCAGTCGTCGTCCCATTGCCAACCCTCTTATTTGAGCGTAGTACTTTCCGGGCCATCTGAAGATTGAGCAGCTCAAGCATTTTTTAAGAGTGCCATCAGGTGCTCTATCTTGAAGCCATACATGTTTATTTCTCCTACGTGTTGTGTAAGGAGTTCCAATATGGCTTGCGTTGCGGAGTCATTCGACACGTTTGTATAAAGGGCGGTAACGTCTAAGGACTCCATCACGCACGCGCTGTTGGGCTGCGCAGTACGTAGACGATCCAGAAACATCTGGGTATTCGTAAGGTGGACTGGAATGTGTTTCAACAACTGGTTAAATATTAGGGTTAAAAATCATGTTATCCTGTCCGTTGGCCCGTCTACGCAGCTAATGATAGGTCTAACCTTAAATAGTGATGGATCATTAGACGCAAGATCGTCGCTGGATACTAACTTATGAGTTTTTATAAGTAAGTACAAGACGGGGCATGTTGGTAAGGCACGTTTAAGTTGAGAGATAACTGATGGTTTTAAACCAGCAGCCCTTGCCATTTTGGCCCATTCGTGGTTTAATTTTCGGTATTTACTTTTGAATTCCTCCTCAGATGATGGCGATAAAGCAAAGCATCTTCAAGATGCTTTTTCGTTATCCCCACATCTAACTGATGAGGAATTACGACAAATTTTCCACCCTTATCACTAACGGATAGTCTTATGGTTTTCAACCTTAACAGCTCTCGTACCTCTCGCATACCACGTTTTTGCACTGGAGTGAGGTTTGAGCTGTATCTTTTCGCGCGATAGTGTTTAAGGACTTTGAGAGTTTCATTCGCAAACATCCGAAATTTAACATCAACTTCATTATTGGGCTCTTGTTGTCTAAAGAACGTCGGGGGAAATGGTGCTATTGGTAGGGCCCCCACTTGATGTTGTTCGCACCTATTTAGCGCTTCATCTCTAGCTTTTTTGCGGAGTCTATCTTGAAGTTCATGTAAATCACATGCGACCCTACGCAAGGTTATCTTAGAATTTAGGCTATCTTATCTTAGAATTCATTCTGGATTGTTCTACGTTGCATTCAAATATGACATGCTTAGAAGCAGTTGAACTATTGGAAGGAGAAATTTTTTCCAAGGTGTTGCATCACTTCACCACCATTCCAATATTTCTATGAAAAACTATCTATAGTTTGGATTCATCATTTGTGCTATTCAAATTTAAAAACCGTTTAGCGACATATTTTCCAGGTTGGGGATGAGCAACAGTATTGTGAGACAGTTCGTGAAATTACATTAAAAAGCGAAGGAAGTACTTCTGGGGAAGGCTTTAAACGTGGTTTCCTGAGAACGCTCTGTTTCTGTGATTCCCGTGATTCACGAAGGATTTACAGCAATGTGGAGTCGTAAAATGATAACACCTTGGTCAATGAATTCGTCTTACCAAATCAACAGATAGTTGCTGTTCATTGTGCTCCTCACTCTGTGGATACTTCCATGTCATTTTTGACATGACTAATTTTTGCGATGAAATACATTGGAAAAAAAATGTATTTCGCCCACTTTGCCCACCCTCACATGCACACCAAACGATGCATATTCTCCTCCAGGCGCTAAACAAAATACCCGTATTATTACCGTTTTACCCGTTTTACACCCAAGTCTTCTTTCATAGATTCCGCATAGACGTGTATAACAAATCAGGAAGACCTTCGTGAATGACGGATGCGAGGAAACGAGTCGAATCTAAGAAGTGCTGAGATCCGCACAGTAGATGCGAAGAAGGTTCGCATAAAAGAAAAGTAGGCTACAATTAAGAAAACATCGATATTAGCTCTATGGTATTGCATGCTGGATGCTGATTGGTCAAAAAGGAGTAGTACCGACCCTACTGTCCGCACTCGCCTTTCATAACCTCCCTCTCTCTTTTCTTTCTCTATGTTAATGTGAAAGGCTCCCCAATTTTCCCGGTCCCGGTATGTTTCTTTTATATCTGGTTTCCGATATTTTAGTCGGAATCGAGTTAGTTTCTCAAGCTCCACTTCTATTGTCAACGTCAGTTCATGTTTATTAGAGAATAAAAGTACTATTAAACAATATAACCCTTTTACAATTTATGAATTTGATGAAAAGTTATGACAAGACCCGACAGTGAAATTCACAAGCATGAGGCAAGGGGTATGTGAGGACATTGAGAAAAAAACGAGAACAAGAAAAAAAAAGATGTGATCAACCTAAAAAATATGAGGCAAACGGAAAAAGATGAACTATTCGAGAATAAAATTAGGAGATAAAATTTTGAAAGATTGCCCATTTTTTGGCCAATGAAAGGAAAACCAGGTAAGGTGAGCAAATGAGTTCCCGAAAAGACATCGGTTATGTTGAATAATTGAGGAATGTTCTAAACAATAAAATAATTAGAATTTGATCTGTCTGAGATTGTAGCGCTGTTTCTATAAAGTAATTATGTTAGGCACATATGATGAGTACCAAAAAAGGGAGTGGACAGATTTCAAGACTAATTCCTTTGAGACGTTGCTTGAAATACTCTTAGAAAAGATTCATTGGAAACCAGACTGTAAAAGTGCCAAAGCAGCGATTGGTTGTCAATTTTTGTTAGTTTTCCGTGATATGATCATCGCTACTTTCTATTTTATATTTCCTATATCGATAAATTTGTGTTTTCAAGACATTCCTGATCTTAAGGGAGGAGCTAAGGGATATAAAAATCATGCTTCTGTATCGCTGCAACTTAAAGCGTAAGTTCTACAGCCCTTGAATTTGGTTTCCTGACTAAGAACTTATAAGTTAAATAAAAAATTTCAATCTATAGCACCTAACAATCAGTGTTCTGTGAGGTCACAACGATCCGCCCATGACGATTACTGTAACGGTGGGTCGTTGTGGTAACGCAGAGAGCGCACAACTGCTTGGGCAGTTCTGTTCGGCTGGCGGTAAACGAGTGGGCTCATTGCCTACCGGAATGCACACGGTTGGCGACTCATATCGAGGAGGATAGAGGTACTGAATGGCCAGCGGAGGTGGGTCCGGGCTGGCAGGTGATGACGGAGCTGTGCTGGACAGCGAGCGCAGTGGATCGAAGATCACGCCTTTTTCTATGTCCGAATAGAGAGGTGGTGGAGTCTGGCTGGAGGCAACTGCTGCAATAGAAAATGAAATAGTGCAATCGTTTCGTTTTAAATTTACCACACTTGAAAGGTAAACGGATATTCTGAAGAAATAGACTTGAGTGTATTCGCAGGTCTTGGAGGATATTCACAATGGGCTGCTCTGGAGTTCCGAATACGGAACACCGATCAAACAGTGGTCTAGAGCGCTTTTTTAAAATGTTCTCTACTTATCTAGTCTTCGGAACCACGGTCTCAGTTTTTTAACAATAATTCGGAATTGTTGCTTCAATTTTCCATGAAAATATCCCATGAGCTTACAGCCTAAAGATTGGGTAGGCCTATGTGTGAAGCCGTGATATACAACATAGTGTTTTTCCCAGTAGTGTCCTATCCAGAAAGCCGACTTAGGGTGCAGTGATGGGAGAAGGCTCCATTGTCATGGAAGACACCCAGTGGCAAGGTGGGGAACCTCATACATAAACACATTTGCTGGAGAGCAAAAAATTTACAGTACCAGCAAATGCCATTGAAATTGAAAACGTGTTATAACTAGCATGATTCTTCACGACGACGGCTCACTTGTCCTCAAGTAATTTTAGCAAAGAGGAGCTAGAAGTTCCTTATTATGAAAAACTCCGAAAGCAAACGACTGATTTGGGGAACTGTCTAATCCCATATTTAGTTGGAAGAATCTGAACATTTTCATCAACAGCAAATGCTCTTTATGTGCTTCAAGTATCAGTGATGTCATTAAGCTCAGTAAACTGCAATACATTTTCTTAATGGACGAGCCTCCTCATGAATACTGTAAAGTGACAAAATGTTGATGATGTCAAAGCGCAAAATACAACCACACATCCGAATCACGGCTACATAGGAATTGCCGGGACACAAAACTCACCAACGTCGTATTTCGGTGGCGGTGGTAGTTGTCGTATGATTCGCCCAAAGTTTCGTCGTCGTAACGGTTCTACTCTCGGCGCTGAAAAGTTGGCAAGGTGTAGAGTGCTGTCGTTGCATATTTTCTACAATTGCTATCAACGACATTACAAGAAGTATAACTCGTATGAAGTGCTGAGATATCTGCAAAGCTCCGGACCACAGGTGTATGCAGTGGGGAACGAACACGCGCTGTTGTCCTTACCGGAGAGCAGCGCACTCCACCACTACACCATCCGCTGCTCCCCGGTAAGGACAACAGCGCGTGTTCGTTCCCCATTGCATACACCTCTGGTCCGGAGTTTTGCAGATATCTCAGCACTTCATACGAGTTATATTTCACAACATACCCTGCCATTAAGAGGAAAAAGGCAGTAAATAAAAGAGTTAAGATTACAAGAAGTCACGTTTTCAAGCGACCGCGAAGCTTTTAACAGAAGAAACAGAACGTAGTCTTGGTCTTTCTTTTTTGCTCAATAATTAGTAATCACTTTAACCTTGGCAGCGAAAATTTCACGAAATTTTAACAAACCAAAACCACCATTCATATACGGTTAAAGGAGTTAAATATTGATTTCGATAAAGTATTCAACCACGTTACAGAATCATCTGGATCAACTACAGTTGTTTTATCCAAATGAGAAATAAATCCTAGGCTGTACAAAGTATTTCCATACCCAGTATCGCTTCTTGGCTCACGATGACTCAACCTGAGGTGTTGGAGATTTACGTTATGAAGAGTTTGGCGTTGATCAATCTCTTAGTGACGAGCCATGGATTTGATTCGACACCTTCACGAATCGTAGATTATATTGTATCTGGTGTATTCGCCATTTGCAATGACTTCCGAAAACCCATCAATGGATAATACCAGTGCATCTGCCTCACGGACAGATATGGCACCAGTATTCCTGCCTCGTAGGAACTTGAGGCTGTATTAACTGGGAGTGTGAGCTTGAAACAACGATGACATATGTATTAATACGATTGTATTGTACATCGCCCTCTACCACTGCGCTACGGAAGCTACTAAAATGTTGCATTTCACTTTATTTCACTATGTCATGTTTTTCATCAATACATGGAGTAACATCAGTTGAATAGAAAGAAACTCACGACCATCGTAGTTCTTGATGATCATGCACACTATACAGCAGCATAGGAATAGAACGAATAACACCGGGCAAGAGATCACCACCACGACCTCCCACAGTTGGGTCGGGCGCGACTCCACTGTTCCTGCAACCTTTAATTCGCAACCAACTGAACATAAATCGAAATTGGGGAGGTTCACGACGTACTTTTGAACTGGCAGCGGTGGACTCTGTTGACGGTTGCATGTTTTATTATATTTTCGGTATTGAACTTTGTTTAATGGCGTCGCGAATAGTAAATGTTTTGCTGTATTGAGAAGCTACGATGAGGCTCACAAAATACTTTATTTTGACTACGATACCGAACGCTTTGTCCTCTTCAAGGCTGCGAGGATTCGAATCGAGTGCCTACAGCGGTTGATGTGTCTTAAAGTATGAGCCTTCTTAACCACATACAGTCAAATCCGGTATTTCCCGCGGAAATCGCGGTTCTGAAGAATCCAATTACGCCGAAACGTTAGCATCATGAAGCATTACCGTATTTTAAACACCACATTGTTATCTTCCACTACATGTACCATCTAGATACTTTTTAGTACAAACTATTTCGTCACATAGTTTATTTTTGTGATATATTTTTATCAAATATTAAACAATGAAACAACAATGTTGCTGAGACATTTGCAAAACTTCAGACCGCAGGTGTCTCCGGTGGAGAACGAACGCGCTATTGCCCTTTCCGGGGCCTAACGCGTTCACCACCACACCATGCGGGTCCTTCGTTTCTGCTGTTTTTCCGATGGTTTTCTGTTGATCGGTGCCATCAGCAATCACCCGCCAATGGGATTGAACAATATTGAACAATATATAAGCACATACACGTATCCACTGTATTCCCTTTCAAATTTTTAAAAATTAGACGTAGTAAGACCTTCATGTCATCACCTTTTTTCGAAAATACTTTAATATCACTGCACTAGCAGCCGACATCGATGACGTAATCAGAGAAGTCACTGCATTCTGTTGGACGAACTCGCCTCTCGCTTCCCTATTCAAGAAACAAGCCTTCAGGTAAAAAACCAAAGATTAGAGTTAGAATGTTGGTCGAACTGTGTTACACAACTCTGCCTCAACCAGCATGCTCGCCAAATCACTCGCTTGCGGACTACCATTGTTCGAGGGTCTCGGTAACCTCCTGTGAGAGAGATGCCTCAGAAACTAAAGCAAGACCTCAACTGCTTTCAACGACTTCATAACCTTCAGAAGTTTAGAGTTCGAGGAAATCAAAACACACACTTACCAGTTGCAAAATGATAGGATACTAGTGATTTTTAGTCCGGTTAGTAGAGTTTATTCCGAGCTGAGATATAATACTTTCAAGGTACACGGTAAAGTCGTGCATCAATTTCCAAACCACCTAGTAAGGTAACGCTTGGTACTTGTTTTTTGACAACTAAGAATAAATCTTTCATAACTGGAGCATGTTAAAATTCAAGCAATTGAGAGAAATACAAAGGAGGCTCAATCAAAGGTATAAATGATTTTTCAAAAATATTTTTCAATTTTAAAATTGTTTTTGAGTATTTTAAAGCAAGTGCGGCACCTCAAACATCAATCAAGAGCTTTATTGTTCTGTATATTTATTCCTATTGAGGGGTCTCAGTCAAGCATTCTTGGCTGTGAGTTTGCCAAGTATATGAGCTTAATTGTGGTTGCAGTTCGCATAATACTCTGCCGTGAAAAAATAATGGCCAGTAGGTAACAAGTTAAGTATTGTCGTTTTGACTGCAGCCTAACCTTAACTGAGTTCAATACCGATTTGTTTTTCTAAAATCACTGTCGTTTACAGGTGATTGCCGACGGCACCGTCAGGTGGAAAACTAGCTGAAAGAATAGCAGAGAAAAGGCCTGAGTGGTCCAGTTGGTAGCATATAAGTCTCCGGAAAGAATAATCCTGTGCTTGAATTTGGCCGGTGGTAATAAGTTTTGCAAATGTCTCGTCTTCATCGTGGTCCTTGTTGAGGGTTTAGATGAAAAGGTTGGTCGAACTATAGCACCATTTACGTGAAGCTATTAAGGGAATGGACTTAGGCTATATATTACACTACAATCGGAGGAGTTCTGAAGAAGCCGGTAACTAAGACGTGGTGGTTAATCTTTTGAAGATATGCTTCAGTTAGCGTCATGTAGTGGATTTGAATAGAAATCGCCGACCCGATCCAGTCATTGATGATAAACACGACAAAAACGTTGCTTACACATAATTAAATTCACAGCAGGATTCGTACAAACAGGATTTTATCATCGCTGAACGGGGTGGGTGTTTGTGCTCTGTTTGCTGGTGAGCCAGCCACGTACACGTAGATGCTTGCACTTTCACTGATAACAGCATTTCCTTGGTTATTGATGTCTTCTACTGGCGGTTATGTGAAAACAGAAATGTGAAACGCTCACGTCACACTGATTTTGAAGAAATTTTTCTGTAAAAAAATAAGCTCAAGAAGTTCCCAGTAAAGTGGGAATACTTGTAAATATTGAATGACCATGATAAGGAACAAAAAAAAACTGAAGAAAAAGTGGGAAAGACATTTGGCGGAAGAAAGACTCTAAGTATTTTCCAATGGCGAGGTGTATCGCGCCTGATCACAAATAAGAGGGGCATGTTTTATGTATTGGTGACATTATTGGTAAAAAGAAACAAAAGCTTATGGGTAAATAATGTTGTGGCTTAGTAGAGACCGTTGGTTTCCCTCAAATAAGCAATGACAATACAGAATTTTTAAAAAACAGAATAATAAAGTTACCTGGCGGAAACATCATGGTGACATTGACGGTGTCTACTATTCCGTCTGGCAATAACGATTCACTCATTGTTACTGGAAAACGTTCGTTGTGAAAATGAACATGGTACGAAAAAGCACGAAATAGACGAACGACGAGAGCGAGGGTATGAAAAAGAGAACACAAAAGCTTGACGAAACACCGAAATCGAAGCGAATGTCATTCTGAGAGGTTTTATCAGCTAAACTTTGAATAAGGAAACTAAGCGGCTGATCAACGCACCAAGGTGAAGAACCTCTAAGCGGAAGAAACCCCTGAAGCGTTTTGATAAACTTAGAGGACATTCAGGTATGGACAGAAACGGAACATTAGTATGCTGAGATGGAAAGATTGAAAGCTCATGAAGAAAGCCGTACAATACTAAGACGCTTACTGAAATCCCTTTCAAAAAATCATAAGAAGAAAATGTTTACTTTGTGATTACCACAAAATTGCGGCCAAGGCTAGAATTCATTGGAAGAGTTACGGTAAAGGAGTGGGCGTAAAAACATGGAGACCCTTCCAATGACGTTTTCTTTCAGAGCGTCTTCTGCATATAAAGCTGCCAGCAACGTAAAAACAAAAAAAACGGTAATTCATAACCGGTAGAGAACCGATAACACAATTTGTCCAACGCTGAGAAATTGGTAGTGGCAAAAAAACCTTGTCATACAATGGGAGGCCACAGCACGTATTTACCAAATATGCATTCATTCACCTCTATGATGCTAGATAAAGCCAAATGCATGGCATATCCCTGCGGGATTAATCAACGCCGAGAACTTCATTGTTTATCTTCTACAGTGCACTTAATTGTTGTAATTTTTCCGCATAAAAAATGCAATCTACATTTACGTAGCCACACTTAGGCCACGTGTATACATAAAAAATAGAAGGAAGGGCGAAATCTGTCAAAGGGTTAGCGCTTTACCAGCTAATAGTTGAGTACACAGAGTTCATATAAGCATCTGCTATTAAAAACAATCTTAGCAAAAAAAACATCTAGTGTAAAGAACAGAGAGAAAAAGAATAGAAAGTTTGAAGTTCTAGATTCACTTCTTCTCGCGTTCCATTTATGACCATTTTACCACATTCATTTCACAGATCCAACTGAAGCATTCCTAATTTCTGTTATTCAGTTTGTCTGTGGAAAGGAAAGGGGAAGAACCGAGAGATTAAATAGATAGAAACAATGGAGACGCCGTACTCGTCAGCTTGTTCTAATGAACGGCATTATGCTAAGTTGTTTGGGAATCAGTAGAGCCTTCCTTTTTTGCAATTTACTTTTTTAATCGGAAAAACAATCACACGACCCTAGTGATTTCTTGCCAAGAAGGTAATAAGAGCTTCAGTTGTTCCATAGCAGTAAACTTAGGTTTCTATACATAAAGAATCATTTAGAACCATTTTGTCTAAGCATGAAAAAATAAAGCTAATATCGACTTTCCAATGAAACTAGTGGATGGAGGAAGGTAGCACAGTGGCAGCGATGACGTTTAGCTCGAACAAAGCGCTGGTTCGACAACATGCGAGTACCACTGAGCATCCCAACACTCATGAGTTAGAAATTGGTAACAGACTTGCCCAGAGTAAAGTCAACCTTTCAGAAACATTGATAAGTAAGCTGAAAATCCTCAAGAAGCAGCAGAACCTACATACAAAAGTTCGAAGGCCCTCGTGCATGGTAAATGCATGCAAACGAAGCAAACGAATTGAGCCTAAGAGCTGCTCGGATTCGCAAAAAAAAAAACGAAATCTATAAAATTTCTGTGAAGTGAGTCTACTTTTAAGGAATAATTGGAGAAATATTACAGTAATGTTTGGGTTATGCGATTCTGATGTTTCGTAATACATCCTGAATTAGGAGAGTTATTTATGTGACGCAATACTGTGATAATTACCAGTTTAACATCGTAGATTAACTACTTGGTTCGAAACATTTCCTAAAAAATCCATCTTGACAAATGTGAAGAAATGGAGGAAATTTGGGAAACCCCAGAATCAGCTTCCTAGTTTCAGTATTAATTGGTAGTTCACCATTTTCTTGACGAGCAGGCAAGAGGCTATTATTGTACTATTTAGTTACAACAGCTAAAGTTTAGGTGCTCTCAATTTCACCTTTTGGGGCTCTCAAAAGGTGAAATTGAAAGCAGCTTCTTTTAAACACGTTGACCTTTTAACGGAACACTCAGTTTGTAGGCTCTAAAGAAAATAAAATCGTTGGAAACTGCGCTATCGTGAATAAAGATCATAATAAAAGCCATATTCTCATCAAGAAAGCAGAGAATTAATGAAGAAAACGTTCTGTAGGACTTCTTGACCAACCTAAAACGTGATTGCACGAGTAACACTGCAGCAAATCCCCCTTTGAGCCCCAACACCAAAAAGGCCTATCGCGAAAACCTGAGAACGCTTTAGCACGGCTA